TCCACAAAACATTCATCTTCAGCGACTACGACTACGTTGGTGGGCCTTTCTACGAAAACGTGTCGAAAATTTCACGGCAAATCACATTCAGTCAAGCAAAAGCAACCTTTGGATTTAACGAATCGTGAGTTTTATTTTTTACTCTCCGAATCGTTAAATCCTCATTTAACATGTCAGCGACAATATTGGCAAAATTCACTTTGCCTCTATCCAGGCCACACCCTCGTTCTCCAATTCCTTCCCCCAAATATTCGGTTCTGTATCTAACATCCCTTCGCTTATTCCTTGCGCTATCGACCAAGATCCTTACTTCCGGCTAACTCGAGATGTCGCACAAAAGCTGAAATACCCCAAGCCCACCCTTATTCATTCAAAATTCTTCCCTGCTCTCCAAGGTCCCCAGACCAAGATGAGCGCAAGTGATCCGAATAGCAGTATCTACATGACGGATAAGGCCAACCAGATCAAGAATAAGATTAACAGGCATGGATTCTCTGGTGGACAAGAAACGGAGGAAGAACACAGGAGACTTGGCGGAGATACCGAGGTCGACGTCGCGTATCAATATCTTACCTTCTTTTTGGAAGACGATGACGAGCTGAAGAGACTTGGAGAGGTGAGGAGGCTTTTGCCTGTTGTGTGCTGTTACTGATTCAATCAATAAAAGGACTACCGAGCAGGACGATTGTTGACTGGACAACTGAAAGCCAAGTGTATTGAGCTGTTGCAAAAATTCGTTACTGACTTCCAAGAGGTGCGTTTTCAGAAATTCTTTTTATTTCTTTTCTCACTTTCTGCTTTCAGCGTCGTGCCAAGATAACCGACGAACAAGTCAACGCTTTCATGGACTCGAAACGGAAGATCGTTCCTGCCATGAGCAATGCAAAGACTGCACCTGCTGCGTGACTGCATCAGGCTAAATGTGCATGGCGAGGATTTGGTAAATGTGACGAGTGCAAAGACACGAAGGAAGATGTACATGTATCCAGAATACACAAAACATGCAAGATGTATCATTATGTCTTACTGCTATCAGATATAGACACTTGTTGTATAAACTTAGTTCTGCATTCCAGGTTTCGGCTTTGGAGGTCACTTCAGAACGCAGCATTCATGAAGAAACTACTAGATCTTACCGGTAGTGGGTGCCAGAATTGTTTGTTGTGCTTTGAGAATCACTGGCAGGAGAAATAGGACAATGAACTAAACGTTTATCGTCCCGCGTTTGCGTGATAGACGCATCCTCTACCATTCAGCGCATACATCTGTGAATTGACCGCTGAGACGAAAGGCTCCATGATTGTTCCAGGATGTCCGTTTGTGGATGCAAGCCACCTAATCTGGAATCGACCAAGACTCGAAAACCTGACCTGGTCCGAAAACCAATCATCCAGCATTCTCCAATCAGGAATTCCTCCTAGCTCATCCACGGAAGGAGAATTCTTGTCTAGCGAGAGGGTAATATTTATCTCTTGTAATCCAGCAGCAGTGACAGTAGTGAGCAACTCCCGTGCCCGTAAGATACCGAGGGGGAAAACGGAGGGTATTTGAATAGAAATACGCTTCAATCGATGGAAATGAGAAAGTGTTCTTTGCGCAATTACATCGGCTTGGGTTAGAAAAAAGTTAGTGGATTTGCAGCGCGAAAAAAAAAGTCACGTACACAAGCATGAAGAGTATTCTCGTCCAAGTATTTTACCCCGGAGAGCATTTGGAAAAATGATGATCACTTCTTCCAAATAAAAACCTACTCCACGTAGAAAGAGATCAAAGGCAGGTTTCATTGTGAAATACATCCAGCCGAGGAATTTAAGTTGGAGAAAACGCAAGTTGGCAAAGTCAAAAGCGGGGGAGCCTAGGAACTCTAGAAGGCTCTCGTTACTTTCTGCTCCAGAAAGTTCAAGAAACCTGATATTCCTCAGAGGGAGAGATAGACTTTCATCGTGGACCCAGTCCTGGCTTTCCGTACCTGGAAACAGGATGCTCAACTCTTTAATCCGAGACATTCCCAGAATTAGCTTTGGCCATCGAGCAACATTGCGAAGCTTGAGTGTCTGGATCCGACTCGCACCAAGTCGTTCCAAAAACTCTTGCTGTTCAGCCTCTCCCCAATGCAAATCTGGATCATGGGGAACTGAGATATCCAGTGTGTGCAGTCTAACCGATTTCTGCGCCAGACTTCCTATAACCAAAAAGTCATGCCCGACGTCCTGCGATTTCGTCATTCGGAGGTCGATTTGTAGGGTGGTAATCCATCCTGTTAGAATAGGAGATTCCTCCAGATGGCTCTGCCAATTCCTACAACAGCCAGGTATTCCATCTCCGCCGGATATAGACTGGTCATAGATAGCGATGCTGGAAAACAAAAGTTGCTGGGCAGGGTATCTCCATGCGCGACAGACAAGCGCGCACGCTTGCAACGGGCGCTGATGGTCGTGCAGTTCTTCTATAACGAGAAGTATTAATTCATGGGGTAGCCTGGGGCTTTTAGATGCAAGTGTAGATTCCAGGTCGAGAGATTGTGTTGAAGGTTTGAGAAGAGTTACATCATCATATCACGTATATTTGTTTGAACACAATCTCTACAAGGAATATATTGGACTACTGCTTCATTTAGCTTCAAGCGACATCCTAATGATTCGGAAAGCCATGAATCATGTCGCAGACGCTACGGGTGCACGCCGTCAATTAAATAAATGGCTAGAGACTCATCAATTTCGAATCGAGCAAGGCCGAAACCACTTACCTTGGTAGCAACCACAAAATAAAGCATCCTCCTCTCACTTAGAACCGGCATCTGCTCCTCAACAAAAGGGACCATATCACGAAACCGCGCAACATAATCCGGGTTTTGCACCTCTTCCAGCGCATGATCTGGAATCTTTGTCACTTCAAAACGCTCCAAACACCGAAACCTGTCTCTGTCCGAAAAATAATCATCCAAAACTTTCCATTCAGATGACTCGCCTAGAGCGACGATTTTCTCGAGGGAAACTGTTTCAGAGTGAAAAGAAAGCGCAATGCTTAATTCGCGTAATTCTGGAATGTCAAGTGTGTGTAACAGCTCTCGTCCCATGGCTAAACCGCGAGGAGATGCTTCGGAGACGGTGATAGCGACCCTCTGGAGGTGTTGGAATCGAGAAAGCGGCTTGCGTGTGATCAGGTCGGCTAGATTGGTGAAGGTCAGAGGATGATTTAACTTTGAGAGAATAAAGACAGACATACGTAAGAATGAAAACTGATCTGGCTCGTCATCATACCGCAGAGCAGGGGGAAGGGAAATGACGAGAGTATCCATCAATGTTGGCATTTTGTCCAAAAAAGAGACAAAAGGAGGACTCATCGGTTGAGACGTCCTCCATCCAAAGTCCAATTCCAAATGACGCAGATTGGCAAAGTCGAAAGAAGGAGAGATGAAGAAATCCAAAAGGCTGCTGCAATCTTCAAAACCTGAAAGCTCCAGCCGTTTCAAGTTCCCAAGTATTGGCGGAGCTGCAGGTGTAGACGTATCCCATTTGCACACTCCAGGGTGATGAACCGACAGAGATGTGATACCGGGCATCGAAAGAATCTCTTGGTCCCATGTATAAGACCGGAAGAGCCAAAGCGAACGAATAGAAGGCTTCAAGTATGCCACGAACTCCTTATACCAGACCGCTTCCTGCTCTCCCAGTCTACCACCCCAAATGTGGAGAGATTGCAAATGACTCAGCTTGGGCGCAATATTCCTAGCCAGAACCAAATCGCTTTTCTCCCTCAACATCACACTAGAGATGTGGAGCCTTGAGAGGTAGGTCGCCAAGTGAGGAGACTCTTCAAGACGGTCTTGCCACTTGATACAACGCGCTCCAAAGGTCTGGAGTTTTCCCCCGAGAAAGATATCTAGAAGCCTCAAGGTTGAGAATAGATGCTTCTGTGAAGGATATCGCCATGCACGACAAACGAGAGCACATGCCTGGAGCTCGGGAACTGATAGGTCTTCCAAGATGAGGAGAATGAGCTCGAAAGGGAGCTTGGGTTCTTGGTAGGGTTCCGGGTCTATTGGAATAGTAGGTCGAGTGCGCGTTGTACCTCTGGTCAAGCGTTTGAAAAAGTTGGTTATTTCGAGATGTGGAGAGAGCGTGCAGAGTAGAGACCGGGCGGCGGCTCGAGTGCGCGCTGCACCTCTGGTCAAGTGTTTGAAAGAGTTCTTCATTATGAGACGTGGAGAGAGCGTGCAGAGTAGAGACTGCTCAGCGACGCAGAAGCGATGAAGACTCGTCGCGACATGACTTGACTCTTATTCAGTTGCCCACAGCCATTTCTATCAGATCAACGAAGCAATACAGAGAGAATGGATCCAGTACAGACCAGCCGAGAACCAACGATATCCAGGCCGAATTCAGCAAGGTTTACGCGGTGGTCAAAAAACTTGCGCTGCGTCTAAACGCCTGGATGTAGCTTGGTAATGTAGAGCAAGTTGGAGAAGAACGTGAAAAGAATTTGTCACATCTACGTCGCGTCCTAAACGCGTCCTCCCAATGCAACAAAAACTTGCTTAACACGGGCACATGGTTCTCTCGATCGCCAGGTCGCAGCCTCGTCCGCAGGCAGGTCACCATCCGCACTCTGGTGCCGGGCGACCCAATTTGACTTGACCCCGTTCAAAAACCTTCTATCGGCAGTAGAAGCCTTCTTGATTCCGACAGAGGGTTTTGTGCTTGAACGCTACATCCCCCCGACGGATTTCAGAGTACTAGTGGCAGACCTTGTTCTGTTCTTAGCTTGTCAGCAGGCTCAAACGAGTGAAAACAGAGCGGAAAACGGAACGAAAATGCAGTAGCTGGCTGTATTTTTGGCATCCAAAAAAGTCTTCGATAGCATGATAGGTTTGTCCAATAGAAGAGAAATTTGAGTGAGCTTGACTCGAATATTCTATCAAAGGTTTTTTCCTTCTATAGAACATTTTAAATACTTCGATAGAAAGTTTCTCTTATTCTATCAAATACTTTGCTTAATATGGGCACATGGTGTAGTTGGTTATCACATCCGCTTAGCATCAAACTGAGGCCTGCGGGGGGTGCTGGGTTCAATTCCCAGTGTGTCCATTATAGAGAATGTGTGCATTTTTTCTTACGATCATCGGCTGCGTGCGCTACGCGCTAGAGCACTTGAGTATTTTCTAAGCTCAGATTCATCCTTGCATGGTATACGCAGGTAGTGTTTGCTATTTCGTGTATCGCTATCTGTACTATTCAACACTCGATATTGCTTATCAATGTAATCTTTTCATTCATCGACGAGCGATACTGATACTGATACTGTATATGTACTTTACTTGCAGAAAAAGCTGTATGTATGTATGTATGTCTGTATGGTGTGTATGTTATGTATGTACGTGCGTGAACGGTAATGATGCATGGTGGGGTGGGGAATGATGGATCTTGCTTGCAGAGAACGAAAAAGAATAGTGAAACAGAGGAGAGGAGAGAAAGCTGAAGAACAAAAAAGTTGAGATCTCACAACAGCCTAGGTCTCGATAGACCGGCCATAAAATGCAAGAACTCCGAGGTTGAACTGAACGAACAACGAACCGAAACCCAAACGAAACGAAGAAAAGGTGTGCGTGTAATAGTAGAATACAATTGTGTTGATTGATGTGTAGTGTAACGTGAGGTAGAGTACGAGGGTCAAGGATGAGGATGGCGCGATGCGGAATGATGATGATTGTAGTAATGTGAATGCAAGGGTACGGTCATTATCCGAGAAATGATAATGCTGTATATTTTTTTGGGTGTGGGTGTGTTAAAAAAAAAAAGTCCATGTCGAGCTCCGGCCAACCACTCGCGTCCTACGCCCGACGAAACAAACAGAAGGAAATAATGATAAAGGACGTGGAGGAGAAGAGGCGAAGACGACAGGCCACGGCGTGCATTCGACAACTACAAGAAAGTAGGTCGACACCAAAAGGCCATAACGGTCTATGGCTTTCGGAATTCACACAACACGGTGTATATCGTGTTGAACGCCGTGTAAATCTCTTCCCTGACCTAGTGGGCAGGAAAATGCATCAGCGGATGTTCTTTACAAAGAGTGTAAACCCATCCATCATGCGACAGTCCGAACCATGTCAAACGTGATCACGGCGGACGAAGCACACCCGTAAGAGATGGATGAAAAGAAATGGTAGCTACCTTTGCACCAGTCAACACGATCTTGCCAGAAACGAAGATGAGCAGCACAACTTTGGGCTTGATCATGCGGTAGATGAGACCAGGGAACAACTGACGAGAGATCAGCTACTAGACAAGAGACGGCGACGACAACGACTCACCTCTGGTTCATAACTGCTGAACTGTCCGTGGCTGTATGCAAGACCCTCCAAACGGATAGGGAACTTGACATCACAACTGCCCACAATGTTCTGGATTTTGAACTCGGAAAACTTGGCGTCGAACCCGAGCTTTTGCACGATACGCGCGTACTTGCGCGAAGCCAACCGCGAGTCATCCTCAGACTTGGCACCGGTGACGACCATCTTGCCAGACGCGAATATGAGAGCAGTGGTCTTGGGGTCACGGATACGCATGATGACGGCGGCGAAACGCTATAATAAGGCAAGTCGAAACAGTTCGACATGCACAAGGATAAGTGGATTCAAAGAATAATACCAACCTTGGGGTTATATTCGGCATTCCTTGCATGCAACGCGATTGTTTTGAGATCTAACCGACAGTCGAGGTTGACAGTGGCGACGATGTTTTGGAGTGTAGGCACGATGCCCTCGACGGCGGTTATATGTTGCTGCTCGAGAGTAAGAGGTGCAGGTGTGGCTGGTGCAGCGGTGGGAGTGGAAGGACCTGCGACGGCATTGGTAGGCGAAGGTGCCGACGACGGAGGAGTCTGGGACTGGGATTGTGTGGGAGAAGTCTGGGGAAAGGCCTGTTGGGCCGAAGGAGGTTGATAAGAATTTGAGAGTGGGGAAGGGCCGGGAAGAGCGAGGCCGGTGGTGGGTTTAGGAACGTAGGGGTTGGTTGAGGGAAGAGCAAGGTTCCGCTGCTGCTGCTGGAGCTGGGCCTGCTGTTGAGCCTGTTGTTGCTGGTATTGTTGCTGCTGGTAGAGCTGCTGCTGCTGTACGGGTACGTTGGAACGACCAAAGGTAATCGGACGAGCAGGCAATGTGAACGACATTTGATCAAAAAATTTCAAGACGCGGGGTGTGTAGCGTGGGAACGGGGTCTCTTGGGGCGCGAGACGTGCCCTCTTTATACCTTTCATTTCAAACTCCGCCGTTTATTTCAGCATCGCATTGTTACGTGATCTGCTCTTTCGCTCACCGTCATCATCGTTCTCCTCGACGTGTTCTTCCCTTCCCGTCCCTTTTCTCGACCTCATCCTTGTTCCTTTCCCTCCTCGACACTGTTCTGCTCATCTCCAAGCCCGTCGACCACCCCAAACTCTCCGAAATGACGGCTGCACCACTTCCTTGGCAACCACCCATATGAGACTTCCCCTGTCCCTACTCCGCAGTCCTTCTCCTTCATTTGTCCTCCCTCTTCGTCTTTCATGCTTTGCACTCGTCTTCAGTCTTCTAGTCGTGCTCAGTGCCTTCATCGTCAACCTGCTTGCGTTCATCATTCAGTCATCACAGGCCTCATCAAGATATTGATAGCGATCGGTTGCGCTTTCATAAGGTGGAGTCATCGGATCCAATCATAATCACATGGTCCGGCCGCACTGCATTGTTGCCTTGTTCCTTCCTGGTGGCAACCCTGTTTTGTCCTTCTTTCTCTCACCCTCACAAAGAACCTACCGCTTCTGCTTTCCTCTTCCCGTTCTTTGTTCTCCCTACTTGCTCTCTCTTTCTTTGTTTCTCTCCCTGTCGATCTCCGGAGACTACGGTGCCCTGCGGCTATACTTGGCTTTTTCAATTTCGATCCTGAGCAACACCGAAGACACCGCATATACCTGGACAGAAGCTCCAAAACTATTCCTAACCGGTGAGGCACTTTCGAGAATAAAGTCAAAGCGAGTCATATTGTGGCTCCGTGTACCTTTCACTTAATTCCGGTCAACACCCGCTCGACTGCGCTATACACAGGGCAAGGGCCTCTTGACCGCGGTGTCAACCTTGCCGCCTGTCGCCACCTCGCCGACCATAAGTACAGCCTCGTGTCACCTCCCTTCAGGTTCCCACCTTCCCACCGCTTCCATAACCTTCCCGGTGCTTCTAGTGCCTCGTAACGCATCTTATCACACCGTTATCTCGTCATGCGATTATCAATTTTTCATCTTCTCTCCATTTGTCCTCTTATCGACGCTTTATCACACACACGGACGCGCTTATCGGCGCAGATTCTTATCAGACTTGATTTGTGGGCGCTTCTTACTGTCTTGTTACTTTGTTCTTCGGCTTTGGTCTCCCATCAATTAACCTTTTTTCGGAACCTGTTGATGCTTCATGGAATGGAGATGCCAGGGCCTTCTGTGAAGAACAGTCAAGCCGTCCGTTGGCCGCAAGCCCCTGCATTCGTTGTCACTATTATGGGATCATTGCTCAAACCGTCAAACCTTGTCGGAACGCTTGCCTTGTCCCTTGGCTAATTTTGCGGTACTCGCCTTTTGAGTAGTCTATGCATATTGACAGATTGACACTGGACGTCTGATGAGATTGTCGACTAGCTGAAGCTCCCCAATCGTCATGATGGGACTAGACAATCTGATACGCGCGCGTTGCTCAAGTGCCTCGTTGTCGTGGTTTCAAGTTGTTTGTTGTATTGAGCTGTTCTTGGTGGCGCCTTTTTTCTGTTGATTTGCGTGTGGGCGTGATGGATGTTGGTTGTAGGGTTGTTTACATGTTGCTTGATGCATACACACATGCATACATGTTTGCTGAATTCTGATTGCTGGGGATCAACTGGGGATTGGAACTTGCGGATTCATCATTCCGTACATGGGAAGATGGTGTGGAGAGGTGTATATGGAAGCTGTAGATTGTGTGTAGATGGGTATATGTCGTAGGCGCTGTGCAATATATACGGATGAATACACGTATACCGCTTTTCTGCACTTGGCTTCTCAAGAAGCTAATCCATGTCCCGAAGCCGGGAGTGCGTAGCTAGTAGTTCTACCGCGCGCGAGATGATATGAATGAATGCATTCAAAGTGTGCGTTCATAGCGATTTGTCCTCATACATGAATGAACGAATGGGGTTTTGAGTACGCTACATAGATATCGACGTCGTTGCTATGAAATCACAGAATACGAAGCTCCGGGAACTCGTTCAATGATAAGTGACTTGCATACGCATGACTTGTTCGGTCCTCGGTCCAGGCTCCAATCTTCCATTCCTAAAAACCTACACAAGTATGCAGAGAAGACAATTGGATATAGTATGATATGATGCGAGGAGGAGACCTGCATCGTGTCCTATTCTTATGTTCTTACCCTACTGTAAATGACAAGACTTGATAACGGGACGGCGCCACATTTGGAGAAACGGGACACGTTGACCGACACGCACGCACATACATCAATACATAAGCACGTATCATCTTTTTCGCGTTACGGGTGTCGGCCCTGCGTGTCTAGGAGTAATTAGTACCCAGCCGATGCCTCGACAAGAGTTATACCGAGGGACGGAGCGTAAGCTTGTCCCGACCCGAGTAGATATGTAAACCATTGGCAGACGTATTTGTGTAACCTCGAAACACCATAGTAATAATTGCTTTAAATTTACCCCGTGTTGCGTGCTGGCCACCAACAATATAATGCGCTGGCAAGTGGCGAGTTACGTCTCGCGGGCGTCGGCTCTGTAGGTTGAGCTTTGTTTCGTGTATTGAATCTGATTAGGCTGATGTCTCTAAACTTGATACTTGATTGATGCACGTTACAATGCATTGCTTTGATTTATGATCCATGATTTATGTCTTGACTTGCCTGGTACCTCGCATTTTGCAAGTAACCAACCATCAACTAATCTGCAGGTACGTTTCATTTTCATCATGAATCACGGAGTTGAAAGTGTGATGCGGGGTAGCGGATGTGTTGCTTTGCGGTATTAGCATTTATGCACTTTGGAATGATATAATACTACCTTGCTTGATT